GTAAAGTAAAATGTTCCAAACAGTTTAAAAGTTTTTCAAGAGTTCAAGAAGAGAGAACACAAAACCACCAAGGAATCATAAATGATTATACAAAACATATTCTTCTTGGGTTTTTTGGTCTTCTATGTTCAATCTTCTTTCCTCCTTTTTTTTTCCTTCTCTTCTTCTTTAGGGTGTTTATCTCACACCGCATCAAAGTTTGAGGTATTTTTATTATTTTTCCCATAAAACAAAAACTTCAAGTTTTAATGTTTTTACAAAAAACAATAACACCAAAATGCATTTACTGCAAGGGGCGGATCCAGCGTGGGGGAAGGGGGGCAGCTGCACCCACTCAACCCCCACCCAACCCCTTTATATGTGCACAGAATGTGCAGTATGTTTCAAGAATTTATTTGAATGCCTTCCCGATTGAATTTTGAGCTGAAATTTGGTATGGATAAACTAGACTTGATGAGGAACATGCTCAAAAATTTTCATCAAAAAATTCCACCGGGAACCGCCCCAAACAGTAAAGTTCGGACGGCACTTCCCGTCCCTCCGGATGGACCTGATCATTCCTCTATATGGTTCCCGGTGGAATTTTTTGATGAAATTTTTTGAGCATGTTCCTCATCAAGTCTAGTTTATCCATGCCAAATTTCAGCTCAAAATTCGATCGGGAAGGCATTCAAATAAATTCTTGAAACATACTGCACATTCTGCGCACATATAATCTGCAGTAAGCTTCAAGAAATTATTTGAATGCCTTCCCGGTCGAATTTTGAGCTGAAATTTTGTATGTATAAACTAGACTTGATGAGGAACATGCTCAAAAAATTTCATCAAAAAATTCCACCGGGAACCGCCCCAAACAGTAAAGTTCGGACGGAGCCTCCCGTCCCTCCGGATGGACCTAAGCATTTCCGTATATATATATATATATATATATATATATAGAGGAATGCTCCTGTCCAGACGTCCGGACAGGAGCCGCCGTCCGGCCGGCGGCGTTTGGCCGCCTTCCCGGTGGAATTTTTTGATGAAATTTTTATGGCATGTTCTCCATCAAGTCTAGTTTATCCACAAAAAAATTCAGCCAAAAACTCAATCGGGAAGGTCGTCAAATGATTTTTGCAAGTTAACTGGTCCGGAAAATACATATTCCGGACCAGTTAACTTGCAAAAATCATTTGACGACCTTCCCGATTGAGTTTTTGGCTGAATTTTTTTGTGGATAAACTAGACTTGATGGAGAACATGCCATAAAAATTTCATCAAAAAATTCCACCGGGAAGGCGGCCAAACGCCGCCGGCCGGACGGCGGCTCCTGTCCGGACGTCTGGACAGGATCTTTTCTATATATATATATATATATATATATATATATAGAGAGAGAGAGAGAGAGAGAAGTGATCAGGTCCAGCCGGAGGGACAGGAGGCGTCGTCCGAACTCCGCCGTTTGGGGCGGTTCCCGGTGGAATTTTTTGATAAATTTTTTTGAGCATGTGTTTCATCAAGTCTAGTTTGTTCATACCAAATTTCAGCTCAAAATTCGACCGGGAAGACATTCAAATCATTTTTTGAAGTTGACTGCGCCAAAATATACATATAAAAATGCACTCAACTTCAAAAAATGATTTGAATGCCTTCCCGGTCGAATTTTGATCTGAAATTTGGTATGGACAAACTAGACTTGATGAAGAACATGCTCCAAAAATTTCATCAAAAAATTCCACCGAGAACCATCCCAAACGGCGGAGTTCGGACGGCGGTACTGTAGAGAAGCCGGACTCGGCTTTGAAGTTGAAGACTCGACCTTCTGGAGGAGTGAATAAAAATACAGGCTGGATTTGAAATCAATTACGGTGTAAATGGTAATGGTATTCGTTGATTCTTACTGAACTAACAAAACTACAGTACTTATTAGTTATTACCTCACTTTAGTAATCAAAAAAATAAATAAACAGTTCAGAAAACTATCAACATCAACATTAAAAATAATCAACCGCATAAAGAGAAATGATTAATTGATTCGATTTTGCGATTTTTGTCGGTAATTTTGATCTCTCTCACTCTTCTATACTCCCTCCGTTCTCTTATAGATGGGAGTATATGCTTTGACACAAGTTTTAAAAAGAAATTAATAGAGTAAGATAAATGGTGTAGTGAGTTGTGTGTAAAGGAAAAAATATGAAAAAGAATGAAAAAGTAGGGAAGAGAATGAAAAAGTAGGAAAGAGAATGAAGGTATATAAGTATATTTATTGAAAAAACTTTCTAAGAGGAGAAAGAGAGACATGTATTGGAGAACATCCCAAAATGGAAAAAGGGACATGTATTATTAGAGAATGGAGGGAGTACATTTTATTCAAACTTACTTACGTAAGGTCATTTGGAGTTATGTAGGATTAGGAGTCCAAAATGTTAAAGATGGAACTTTTGGACTCCTAATTTCATGTAGTGGTAGGCTAAATAGGGTATTAAAAATGGAAGAATGAATGAAGGGTGTTAAAAATAGAGGGTGGGTTGGTAGGAGTGGAAAAAAGAAAAAGAAAATAAATAGGGAAGGGAATGACCAAGAATGCATTGTATGGATGTGAGGATGATGTCATCCCTGCATCATTCTAATCCCAAAGTTTTTACAACTTTTATAACTTTTTTATTTGTTCTCCAAATTTTTCAAAAGATATATCAAAATTTACGAATTTTTATTATCTTTCATATGACACCAACATGTAATATATAAAATGAAAAAAATCCTATGTTTTAACTATTGGAATTTTCTTGAGCCTGAAAAAACACAAGACACAAAATTTTAATTCATGGAGCCTCTACACATAACTGAATATTCCATAATAAAATTTTACTTGGACTAAATTCATTTTTTGTTAACCGAAAAACGTAAAAAACAATGATGAAATTTATTTATTTTTACATCGAAATATGTAATTTTTATTTCATAATTATTTAGGGAAAAAAGTAAATCGAAAATATTACTTATGATGATTTAACTAATGTTTTACTAAATTGATATGGGAAAAAACATGTTGAATGTATTTTATTGACGGTGCTGAAATGCAAGGAATAAGATTCTAAACACTATTTTCATATGAATGAAGTCTATTTTTAATTTTTTAGCCTCCTAACCGCTATAAATGGTCTAACATAGTCAAAATTTGTCAATTTTGCTCACGGTGTCCTTTTTTGTTGTGTTCTACGGAGTAATTCCCCGATACCTCATATTTCAATCATTTTCAAAGACTTTAGGGCGTGTTTACTAACAGAGATATTTTCTTGTTTTCTACTTCTGTTTTTCGTTCTCCAATTTTCTGGGTTATTTTCCAGTTTTTCTATCTCCAATTTTCTATTTCTATTTTTTAGTTTTCCATTTTCAAATCTGAAAACATGTTCATCAATTTTTTCACCCAGATCTCCAATTCCACACCATTGACCCCTACCCCTACCCTTTCCATGATCTTACATTCTACCCATACTCCCCACAACTCTTCACCTATTTGTAGGGGTCGGGGCAGGGAAGTTATGGGTGTGGGGTATGGTCGGGGTAGGGTGGTAAGGTCTAGGGGTTGGGGGTTGGGGGTTGGGTGGGGGTAGTGGGTGGGTTAAGGGTAAGGGTGGGGTAGTGGGTAGGGTTGGGGTAGGGTAGGGAGTTGGGATAGGATGGCGGTAGGGTGGGGCTAGGACCAGGGTGAGGCCGAGGTAGGGAAGGGGTAGGGTGGGGGGTAGGATGGCGTTGGGGGCATGATGGCAGTAAGGGTGGGGGTGGTGGGTAGGGTTTGGGTAAGGTAGGGGACTAGGGGTAGGGTAGGGAGTTGGGATAGGATGGCGGTAGGGTGGGCCCGGGATCCGGGTGGGGCCAAGGTAGGGGAAGGGTAGGGTGGGGGGTAATATGGTGGTGGGGGTAGGATGGCGGAAGGGTGGGGGTAGGATGGCGGTGGGGTGGGGTCGATGTAGGGGGCATGTGGCAAGGGGTAAGGTAGGGGTAGTGTAACACCGGACCCGAATTTTACCCAGATAAAATTTTTTCGTAAAGTACTTGGTTAAAGAAGGTAAATCAAGACTAAGAGTAGTCTCGATAAATGAGAAAGTAAAATTTTGTCCTAAATTAATAAAGGGTCATTAATTTAGACGTGGGGACCACTCATGATATTTCGAGTTTATAAAATATTAATGTTTATCAAAATGATACTATTATGATAGTATGGATGGTTCCTGGACCCCGGTAATATAAAGAATGACAACTAGACGGCCAAGCGAGCCGGTGTCACTATTCAATAATTGTGAGTCTTTAATTATCGGACTGATAATAATTGGGAAGGCTACGAATTAATAACAGAAGGAATATAAATATTTTAAGAACCCAAAACATGGGATGATGGATAATAATGAGCAACTTGACATGTTAGAGGTGGGTACTTTTGGAGGACCCTACCTTGGAGATATTTTGTATGAGAATAAACAGATAAGATTTTATTTGTTCATACAGTTCGGACCACTTAAAAATAAGTGTAACATTTTATTAAAGTGTCACCAAATATGAAACCACATATTATATTCATCTTGGTTTAGATAATATTTATATGATGGTGTAAATTAATGTTGAGCCATAAAGTTGGCCTTTCGATCAAACAAGGTCCCATTATCGGTATAGCTAATTAATCAGATAACAGCCCGAAATAAATTCCGGGGACCACTAAATTGAAGTTGGGTAATATATATTCATTTTAGAGTCCAATATTAATTGGAAGAATGATATATATTTTACTTGACCCGATAAAATAAAATTTAATTAAAACAGTCCGGAAAATACAACTTTCGGGACCGAATGTACATTTCGAGACACATTGGGATGACCTCCCACATGGGTGGGGGCCACCCCACGTAATTATGCAACCAAACAGCCGAGATGTGGGATGGAGGGTGATGGAGGGATGCATTGTATGTGATTTGAATGGTTTGGCATCAAAAGGACATTGAGTGGACCTCACTCCCACATTCATTGTACAATTGAGACAAAAGAGCCTCCTCACCCCATCCTCATCCCATTAGTTCGGCCATACCACACAAAACAGCAAGAGGAGGTCTACAACCTCTTACCTCCATAACCTCTAACCAAGCTCAAGCAAGAAGGATGATCAAGGAAGAAGAAAGAGTGGAGAAAGTAAAGAAAACTTAGGGAGAAAACAAGGTAATGATTTCATTATTATTTTTCCCTCTTTCATTTTATCTCATATGATTTTATAAATCATATGATGAACCCATAAGCTTGTTCTACACTTATAGAGGTGTAGTATGAGGGTTTGGAGGGTTAAGTTTAACCATGAATGGAGTTATGACCGGAGTAAGACCGGTTCACCGGAAAACACCTTCTCGGAAGGTTTTGACGTTTATACCACTTTTGGTTGTCAAACCTTGTTAGGAATTTTACCAATGTATTCTATACTTCTCAAGGAATCTAGGAGTGGCCGGAAAGTCGCCGGAGCCACCGGAGTTTTTGCCGGAAAATTCAAAGGTCGCCGGAGTTCAAACAAAGAGGATAAAAGCTCGTTAGCGTCATTTCAAGGTGAGTGGACGACTACGTGTCTTGTAACTCTTGGTTCGAAACGTGAGGTTACCTAAATAAAATCATAACCATGATTTGAGAAATGATTAAATGTATTAAAATGCATGATTAGTCATGGTGAGTATGGCTAATGAAAAAAATAGATTAATTTATTAATTAATCATGAATATATTTTTCTCAAATATATAAGAAGGTATATTTGGACCATGCATGAAACTAACTAGAGTAATGTAGTACATGAATATATGAAAAGATATGTGAACTTGTGATTATCCATGTTAATTATGAATTATGGAAATATTACATGATTAATGAATAAGAGATTTATTTGTGGATTAATCATGAATATATTATTGTCAAATGTATAAAAAAAATGCATACATGGACTATGTATGAGATGACTAGAGTAATCTAGCATGTGAATATGTATAGAAATGTTTAAAAGTGTTAAACATGTGATTAGCTATAATGAGCATAAGTTATGTGAAAATGGCATGATTAATGAGTAAAAGAATTATTAATATTTTGATGAACGATAATCATGGATGATTTGGTTAAGGTAATTCAAGATGGTATTCTTGAAGGATTTAAGTACATAATCATATGTGTCATTAAATTAAATCTAGTTTGAAGAATAAACTAGAATGAAATATATAAATGATTAATAAGTATGAAGTACTTATTAATAGTTATGAGAAGACGGCTATATGCTTTATAACTTTTGATTGAGGCATGAGATTACCTAAAGTAATCAAGTATATATTTTATGGAATGACTAAAGTTAATCAAGTATTGGCTTATGCCATGGTTGTATATAAAACATAGTTGAAAGGCATGTTTTGTATGTTTGATGATTAAAAATGTGATAACTTATTATGTACAATGCTCCAAGGATCCAAATTGGTATTTTTGGATCAAGGACGTCAAGGAGTACATGCGTATAAAATTTCGCGTTAATCGGACTCCGTTTGGGCGGTCAAACGGGCGTTGACCGCCGAGGCAAAGGTGATACCCGACCGGGTATGGGTACATACCCGACCGGGTATTGATTAAAAATGGCTCCAGAAGCCACTGTCTTACTAGACCCGACCGGGTAAGGGTATGGACCCGACCGGGTCTCAAGTAAAATCAGTTCCAGGGGCTTCTGCCCCGACCTACCCGACCGGGTGAGATTGGATACCCGACCGGGTATTGGACTAGGCCCAAAACAGGCAGTTTTGAGCAGGTTAACGTGGGTCGTTCGGGTGGGACCCGTCCACATTGGTTGCTAAGGCTTCAAATACGGTTTAAACACTAAGACTTGGACTAGTCGTTAGTAAAGAAATTATAGACCACGACCGGGCGAGGTACGTGGTAGATTATACATGGCGGGTGAATACCCGGGACCGAGTAAGGTTGGGTAAAACTCTGTAGGACCAGGAGGAGTCCTTTATACTCAAATGTTAACAAGGGCCCATGTAGTCCTTGAGGTGTGTTAACCTCCAGCAAATTACACATAGGTAACAAGGGCAAATGCAGTCCTTGAGGTGTGTTAACCTCCATCAAATTGCATATAGGTAACAAGGGCCCGTGTAGTCCTTGAGGTGTGTTAACCTCCAGCAAATTACACATAGGTAACAAGGGCAAATGCAGTCCTTGAGGTGTGTTAACCTCCATCAAATTGCATATAGGTAACAAGGGCCCGTGTAGTCCTTGAGGTGTGTTAACCTCCAGCAAATTACACATAGGTAACAAGGGCAAATGCAGTCCTTGAGGTGTGTTAACCTCCATCAAATTGCATATAGGTAACAAGGGCCCGTGTAGTCCTTGAGGTGTGTTAACCTCCAGCAAATTACACATAGGTAACAAGGGCAAATGCAGTCCTTGAGGTGTGGTATCCTCCATCAAATTGCATACAGGTAACAAGGGCCCGTGTAGTCCTTGAGGTGTGGTATCCTCCAGCAAATTACACATAGGTAACAAGGGCAAGTGCAGTCCTTGAGGTGTAGTATCCTCCATCAAATTGCACATAGGTAACAAGGGCCCGTGTAGTCCTTGAGGTGTGTTAACCTCCAGCAAATTACACGTAGGATGAGGGTGTATGCGTACTCCTCAAGGCGGGGTTAGCCCCGGGAATGTAAACTATGATTGTAAGGACGGTTAGTCCTCGAGGTAGGTGAACCTCAAGGTAATGATTTTAAATGATTAAACGTGCTTGATCGGGAACGAGTTTCCGATAGGATATTTTCCTTGGTCTAGGAATTGATTTAAACCATGTCCGTGATATGGGAGTCCGAAGGGCCCCCACAGTAATTATATTTTGATATCGGGTGAGTCAGCCTGCGGGTGACTCCACTCGAGGGCAAGACATGGGAAGGGTGAATTTAATAAGGCTGTTATGCCTAAATGATTTGAAAGACAAATGGGCCCACGGGCCAGATATTTTACTCATATGTATATATGTATACATTTTGTTTTGAAAAGGGGTAGCTAAGAGTTATGCCCATAATTATACTATCACCCTATTTTGAGGGTCTCACGTGAGAAACGTTAGTTACATTACATACAGTTTGCCCTCACTAGTACTTTTCTGTAGTACTGATCCCTCGGGGGAACCACCCTTTCAGGTTGAAGCTAGAGCTTACTTCCTGCACCCGTTGCTCGGGAGATCGATGGAGAGAAGACGTGGTTCGTGCTTCCTCTCGTTCCATTTTTAAATAATTAAATAATGCTCATGGAACTATTTTGACTTATAAATTAATGGAGCCTGCGAGCTCTTGTTTTACCCTTGTGTGGGTTCTTATTAAAACACTTATATTCCGCTATGTGTTTGATTGTATGTTGATGTTGTTATGTATGTTTACTAATCGGTTTTGGCATATGTATCTATCGGACGTCTTGTGCAATTCGGTAAGGATGAACTGCGGTTATTCTTATTGGGTTGTACGACGGTTGTCCACGTGGCACAGACGCGGTCTGGGGCGTGACAATTAAGTGGTATCAGAGCCAAACGATTTCTAAACTATATAGTTAACCTCTCAACATAGTTTCTATCAAAACAGTTTTCAATGAAAAACCATGAGCATAAGTTTTGTACTTTAAGAGCATTTGGTTATCGAGTTGCAAGGTCTCTGGTTGTTAAGATGGGCCCCTTAACAATTGGTATGGCAGTGACTTGAGCCAAGTTGTGTCTTGAGTACGTTTCTGTCAATTGACATTCAAACGAGTCCAAAGACTCATTCCAACATATTCTTTCAGGAAGGGGTGGTAGAGATAGGACGGTTCGAGGAAATCCGAGAGGGCATGCACCGGGGATACCCGGGCAAGCCAATCGGGGGATATCAAGGTTGCGTAAAAGGCAAGGTATGGGCAACCAAGGCCCACGAACACGAGCCGCGATGGCTGATCACAATGTGACAGAATTCGAGTCGTGGAACTCGGAGGATGACTCAACTTATCACCCTGATAGCGAGTCAGATGAAACTTCTTTTGAGGAAAATAGTGGAGAAGATATACATAGCATTCCTCCTGACCAGATTAGTGAGATGTACCGATGGTACCAGCGTGAAAGGGAAAGACAACGACAGATATCCCAGGTGGGACATGTCAGAGACGAGACCTCTCGCAGGAGGGGTCGGGGTGCTCATAGAGCACAGGTTAGGACAGTCAGAGATTCTGATGCCGAAAGACCATTCATTAAGATCTCAAAGTACCTCAAAGAGGCTAGGGCCTTGGGGTGCAAACCGTTTGATGGGACGGGGGATATCTCGGAAGCAGCCGAGTGGATAAAAAGGTTAAATGATGCAGCCGATGACATGCAAGTGGTTCCTGAACGGAAGTTAAGGGTAGCCACTAGATTGTTGGAAGGTTTAGCTTCTACTTGGTGGGAAGGCATCAAGGGTAAGTTTGACGGGGTTGTCACGTGGGACAACTTCGAGCAATCATTCTATGAACAGTTTTATACCTCTTTCGAAGTTAATCGAAAGAGGAGGGAATATACAAATCTCAAACAGGGCAATGAGTTTACGGTGAAGCAATTGGAACAAAGGTTCCGACATTTGGCAAGGTTCTTGCCTGAATATGCCGCCAATGAGGATCGAATGGCGAACCATTTTTGGAATGCACTGAATTTGGAGGTACGCGAAAGGGCGACCTATCAATTCAACATGACTTTTAGTCAAGTAGTAGCCCAGGGTCTCCAGGGGGAGGAGCTTTGGGAGGAAAGGCAAGCAAGGGGTGCTAAGGAAGCACAAGAAAGGGATCAGATGATCAATCATCCTCTGCGACGAGAGAGGAAGTATGACTTTCAAAGCGAGGGGGACTCTAGCAAGTTAGTTCCATTTTCAAAAGGGAGCAAGGACTGGGTAAGTCAAAGCTCAAGCACTCGGGGCACGGGAGCGCCCAAATGTGAGAATTGTAGGCGGAGGCACCACGGGATATGTCTAGAACCATCTAGATGCTACTTTTGTGGGGAAACGGGCCACATAAAGGCTCTTTGTCCTCAACGTGTACGGGGAGGAGCCTTGGGGGCCCACAGGGGAGTCACGGAGGTTGCAAACCCAACAGGGATTGCTTCAAATGTTTTACCATCCACCAATCAGGGGAGAACTCGCTCGTGAAGGCGATGAATGACAGAAGCTATTTGTGGGAATGACAATGACATAAGGTAATACTCCGTATTTATTTAAACCCTTCATTTCAAAAAAAAAAAAAAATTATTATGATGTTGAAGATGGTCAGCTTCAATTAATGAAGGGGGAAGTATTTCTCAAGGTTAAGACGCCAATTTCGGGGACGAAATTCCTGTAAGGGGGGGGTGAACTTGTAACACCGGACCCGAATTTTACCCAGATAAAATTTTTTCGTAAAGTACTTGGTTAAAGAAGGTAAATCAAGACTAAGAGTAGTCTCGATAAATGAGAAAGTAAAATTTTGTCCTAAATTAATAAAGGGTTATTAATTTAGACGTGGGGACCACTCATGATATTTCGAGTTTATAAAATATTAATGTTTATCAAAATGATACTATTATGATAGTATGGATGGTTCCTGGACCCCGGTAATATAAAGAATGACAACTAGACGGCCAAGCGAGCCGGTGTCACTATTCAATAATTGTGAGTCTTTAATTATCGGACTGATAATAATTGGGAAGGCTACGAATTAATAACAGAAGGAATATAAATATTTTAAGAACCCAAAACATGGGATGATGGATAATAATGAGCAACTTGACATGTTAGAGGTGGGTACTTTTGGAGGACCCTACCTTGGAGATATTTTGTATGAGAATAAACAGATAAGATTTTATTTGTTCATACAGTTCGGACCACTTAAAAATAAGTGTAACATTTTATTAAAGTGTCACCAAATATGAAACCACATATTATATTCATCTTGGTTTAGATAATATTTATATGATGGTGTAAATTAATGTTGAGCCATAAAGTTGGCCTTTCGATCAAACAAGGTCCCATTATCGGTATAGCTAATTAATCAGATAACAGCCCGAAATAAATTCCGGGGACCACTAAATTGAAGTTGGGTAATATATATTCATTTTAGAGTCCAATATTAATTGGAAGAATGATATATATTTTACTTGACCCGATAAAATAAAATTTAATTAAAACAGTCCGGAAAATACAACTTTCGGGACCGAATGTACATTTCGAGACACATTGGGATGACCTCCCACATGGGTGGGGGCCACCCCACGTAATTATGCAACCAAACAGCCGAGATGTGGGATGGAGGGTGATGGAGGGATGCATTGTATGTGATTTGAATGGTTTGGCATCAAAAGGACATTGAGTGGACCTCACTCCCACATTCATTGTACAATTGAGACAAAAGAGCCTCCTCACCCCATCCTCATCCCATTAGTTCGGCCATACCACACAAAACAGCAAGAGGAGGTCTACAACCTCTTACCTCCATAACCTCTAACCAAGCTCAAGCAAGAAGGATGATCAAGGAAGAAGAAAGAGTGGAGAAAGTAAAGAAAACTTAGGGAGAAAACAAGGTAATGATTTCATTATTATTTTTCCCTCTTTCATTTTATCTCATATGATTTTATAAATCATATGATGAACCCATAAGCTTGTTCTACACTTATAGAGGTGTAGTATGAGGGTTTGGAGGGTTAAGTTTAACCATGAATGGAGTTATGACCGGAGTAAGACCGGTTCACCGGAAAACACCTTCTCGGAAGGTTTTGACGTTTATACCACTTTTGGTTGTCAAACCTTGTTAGGAATTTTACCAATGTATTCTATACTTCTCAAGGAATCTAGGAGTGGCCGGAAAGTCGCCGGAGCCACCGGAGTTTTTGCCGGAAAATTCAAAGGTCGCCGGAGTTCAAACAAAGAGGATAAAAGCTCGTTAGCGTCATTTCAAGGTGAGTGGACGACTACGTGTCTTGTAACTCTTGGTTCGAAACGTGAGGTTACCTAAATAAAATCATAACCATGATTTGAGAAATGATTAAATGTATTAAAATGCATGATTAGTCATGGTGAGTATGGCTAATGAAAAAAATAGATTAATTTATTAATTAATCATGAATATATTTTTCTCAAATATATAAGAAGGTATATTTGGACCATGCATGAAACTAACTAGAGTAATGTAGTACATGAATATATGAAAAGATATGTGAACTTGTGATTATCCATGTTAATTATGAATTATGGAAATATTACATGATTAATGAATAAGAGATTTATTTGTGGATTAATCATGAATATATTATTGTCAAATGTATAAAAAAAATGCATACATGGACTATGTATGAGATGACTAGAGTAATCTAGCATGTGAATATGTATAGAAATGTTTAAAAGTGTTAAACATGTGATTAGCTATAATGAGCATAAGTTATGTGAAAATGGCATGATTAATGAGTAAAAGAATTATTAATATTTTGATGAACGATAATCATGGATGATTTGGTTAAGGTAATTCAAGATGGTATTCTTGAAGGATTTAAGTACATAATCATATGTGTCATTAAATTAAATCTAGTTTGAAGAATAAACTAGAATGAAATATATAAATGATTAATAAGTATGAAGTACTTATTAATAGTTATGAGAAGACGGCTATATGCTTTATAACTTTTGATTGAGGCATGAGATTACCTAAAGTAATCAAGTATATATTTTATGGAATGACTAAAGTTAATCAAGTATTGGCTTATGCCATGGTTGTATATAAAACATAGTTGAAAGGCATGTTTTGTATGTTTGATGATTAAAAATGTGATAACTTATTATGTACAATGCTCCAAGGATCCAAATTGGTATTTTTGGATCAAGGACGTCAAGGAGTACATGCGTATAAAATTTCGCGTTAATCGGACTCCGTTTGGGCGGTCAAACGGGCGTTGACCGCCGAGGCAAAGGTGATACCCGACCGGGTATGGGTACATACCCGACCGGGTATTGATTAAAAATGGCTCCAGAAGCCACTGTCTTACTAGACCCGACCGGGTAAGGGTATGGACCCGACCGGGTCTCAAGTAAAATCAGTTCCAGGGGCTTCTGCCCCGACCTACCCGACCGGGTGAGATTGGATACCCGACCGGGTATTGGACTAGGCCCAAAACAGGCAGTTTTGAGCAGGTTAACGTGGGTCGTTCGGGTGGGACCCGTCCACATTGGTTGCTAAGGCTTCAAATACGGTTTAAACGCTAAGACTTGGACTAGTCGTTAGTAAAGAAATTATAGACCACGACCGGGCGAGGTACGTGGTAGATTATACATGGCGGGTGAATACCCGGGACCGAGTAAGGTTGGGTAAAACTCTGTAGGACCAGGAGGAGTCCTTTATACTCAAATGTTAACAAGGGCCCATGTAGTCCTTGAGGTGTGTTAACCTCCAGCAAATTACACATAGGTAACAAGGGCAAATGCAGTCCTTGAGGTGTGTTAACCTCCATCAAATTGCATATAGGTAACAAGGGCCCGTGTAGTCCTTGAGGTGTGTTAACCTCCAGCAAATTACACATAGGTAACAAGGGCAAATGCAGTCCTTGAGGTGTGTTAACCTCCATCAAATTGCATATAGGTAACAAGGGCCCGTGTAGTCCTTGAGGTGTGTTAACCTCCAGCAAATTACACATAGGTAACAAGGGCAAATGCAGTCCTTGAGGTGTGGTATCCTCCATCAAATTGCATACAGGTAACAAGGGCCCGTGTAGTCCTTGAGGTGTGGTATCCTCCAGCAAATTACACATAGGTAACAAGGGCAAGTGCAGTCCTTGAGGTGTAGTATCCTCCATCAAATTGCACATAGGTAACAAGGGCCCGTGTAGTCCTTGAGGTGTGTTAACCTCCAGCAAATTACACGTAGGATGAGGGTGTATGCGTACTCCTCAAGGCGGGGTTAGCCCCGGGAATGTAAACTATGATTGTAAGGACGGTTAGTCCTCGAGGTAGGTGAACCTCAAGGTAATGATTTTAAATGATTAAACGTGCTTGATCGGGAACGAGTTTCCGATAGGATATTTTCCTTGGTCTAGGAATTGATTTAAACCATGTCCGTGATATGGGAGTCCGAAGGGCCCCCACAGTAATTATATTTTGATATCGGGTGAGTCAGCCTGCGGGTGACTCCACTCGAGGGCAAGACATGGGAAGGGTGAATTTAATAAGGCTGTTATGCCTAAATGATTTGAAAGACAAATGGGCCCACGGGCCAGATATTTTACTCATATGTATATATGTATACATTTTGTTTTGAAAAGGGGTAGCTAAGAGTTATGCCCATAATTATACTATCACCCTATTTTGAGGGTCTCACGTGAGAAACGTTAGTTACATTACATACAGTTTGCCCTCACCAGTACTTTTCTGTAGTACTGATCCCTCGGGGGAACCACCCTTTCAGGTTGAAGCTAGAGCTTACTTCCTGCACCCGTTGCTCGGGAGATCGATGGAGAGAAGACGTGGTTCGTGCTTCCTCTCGTTCCATTTTTAAATAATTAAATAATGCTCATGGAACTATTTTGACTTATAAATTAATGGAGCCTGCGAGCTCTTGTTTTACCCTTGTGTGGGTTCTTATTAAAACACTTATATTCCGCTATGTGTTTGATTGTATGTTGATGTTGTTATGTATGTTTACTAATCGGTTTTGGCATATGTATCTATCGGACGTCTTGTGCAATTCGGTAAGGATGAACTGCGGTTATTCTTATTGGGTTGTACGACGGTTGTCCACGTGGCACAGACGCGGTCTGGGGCGTGACAGGTAGGGTAGGGTGGGTTGGGGTGGGGTCGAGGTGGTAGGGGGGTGGCGGTAGGGTAGGATGGATCGGGGTTGGGCCGAGGTAGGGGCATGTGGTACGGGGTGGGGTAGGGTCATTATAGGAAAAAATGGGTACGCGGGGGGTGGGTAGGGTGGTTAGGGTAGGGGTAAGGGGTAAGGTACGAGGATGGAGCTACCAGAATGGAATCGACATCGGAGCGGGACCGGACACACCACTAGGTGTAACTGTGTAAGTATGCAAATTCATTGCAGCGGCACTGTAGCATCTGCGTTTTCCAAATTTGAAAAACTAGTAAAAGTCACTTCTCCGAATCATTAAGGAAAAGAGAGACATGTCTCATTTTTTTGTTTTGGAAAACAATTTGGTAAACTGGTTTTTCTTTTTTCCTTTCTTCAGTTTTCCAGCAATTTCTTTGGTAAACACGTTTCCTGTTTTCTGTTTTCCAGTTTTTCAGTTTTCTATAAAACGGGAAAATATCTTTGTTAGTAAACAGGCTCTTAAGTTTTAATCATTACTCCCGCCACAGACTCATACGGAGTACGTGATATTCATTTTTGAAGAAACTCTATTATTTTTAATTTGATTGAAATTATATGGTCTGATCTGAATTGATCTGGTTTGGTCACATAAATTTATGCTCTATGTGTATTTTATAATTATTAAAGTCTGATTGATCCAGTCTAACCAGATCTAAACCGGTCTGATTTGTCTGATCAAGTCTGAAATAAATCCAAGTAAGAATATTCTAATTGTCATTTTACATAAAATATACTCCTTTCATCTCTCATAACTTTGTCATTTCTTATCATATTCAAATAAAGAATTCAAATAAATTTTTCATTATAAATAAAGAATTTATGGTTCTTATTAAAAAAAATCACAAATCTCAAGCACATAATTATAATTTTAGAGAATACTACGTATCTCATAAGAAACGGGCCGGGAGAGCAAAATGTTTAATAAACACGTACCATTATATTAAAATACATGAAAAGTCTACTATGAATTAAAATTATACGGAAGTAGTCCCTAGTATACTTTAGTCTCATTATTATTAGATTATTGATATATGCCACAAATACTCACTCATACAATGAGCAGTTGTGTAGTTGTGTTAAATTTAACAAAGTAACAATTAATTGTAGTACAATTAGAATGACAAAAAATCTCCTACTTTTTATAAAGTATATATACGATAAACTATAATATTATTTTAAATTGCTTAAAAAACTTAAAGTGACTATTAAAATGATACAGAAGAAGTCCTTGGTATGCTTCTGTCTCATTATCAGATCATGGATGTCATACTGTTAAGACATAGGGTTCCATCCTAAAAGGTCAACCTAATAGGAGTAATTCAGGACTTAATATAGCACTTAATTCCTTTACACGTTTCCGGTGTGGGAATTCAACCTCTCTCCTCACGACCAGACACTTCGTCTGAATCGTGACGTCATTCATTTCTTCATCGATTCGTCATTGTCATTTTTTATAATCACGTCATTCATATTTCATAAAGGGGCCCACACCATGGATCGGTTTGACTCTGATACTATGTTAAGATCCGGGGTTCCATCGTAAAAGGTGAACCTGATAGGAGGAGTAGTCCATGTGTTAATATAACACTTTGTTCATCCAAACATTTCCGGTGTGAGACATTTAACATCCCTTCTCACGATCAAACATTTCGTCTGGATCGTGCCATCAGATCATGGATGCCATACTCATACAATGAGCAGTAATAATGCTAAATTTGAACAAAGTAACAATTAATTCATGGGTTGAAAATGTGATGAAACAATTTTTGTATGAGTCTTTTTAAAATTAAGAGTTGTGCTAGACTGCTAGGTGTGCACATTTTGGTGTACACCTTTCGTACACTTGCCTGTCTCACGCACACAGGCAAGCGTACGAAAGGTGTACACTAAAATGTGTACACCAATCATTTTTCTAAAATTAATTCACAAATCTAACAAGTGGCGGATCCAGGATTCGAAACTATTGAGGGCGGAGTAAGATAACATACAACCAAACACTCCAGCCTAGCTGGTTGCGAGGTTACCGTGCCTAGCGAGAGGTCTCGTGTTCGAATCCCGCTAGGCACACAAGGGTGTAAAACTCAATGGAGTGAGTTTCAACCCTAACATACATAAAGGCAGTAGAATACAAAAAGACTTCATAAAATATAATCAAATCGAATATACTTGCAATAATGTATAACAAGAATTTTAATTTTAAGATTAAATAAAGTGCATAGTATATCACAATAAATGAAAAAAGTCAATCACAACTGCTTTTTTGTGATTGTTTCAAATTTTTCTCTTTCTATAAAACAAACTACACGGTCACTAAAAAATTGATCACGGGTGCGATTATATACGCCGATTAGTCTACTATCTTTATAGTAGAAAAGCATCTCCAATAGTTGTCATGGCAGCCGAAAAAGTCAAAGCCAACTTTAAAGCAAACGTGTCATTACTGGCTGATTCTGCTGAAACTTATTAAGTTATAGCTGTAGTGACTGGATTGACTAATTCTGCCGATCTATAATAAATTATATTTAAAATATATTTTATTAATTAAATAATGAAAGAATTATGTATGAAAAATAGTTAAAATGATTCAATACAGTAACTTCAGCCAATAAAGTCATTAAAGTAACTCCAACCTAAGTTTTTGTTATTATTACATCTTTATGTTTTTGGTGAAAAAGTTAAACGGGCTGATAAATTTAATATGCCGAAAAAATGTGCAAACGGGCTGTTAAACGGTTAAACCTTCTGTTACGAATAAACAATACTCCGAATTTTACACATGAAATGGTTAGACAGGTTAGTTGGCGTTATCTGAAATACGAAGTAATTCTTTAATCCTAATACCGGAGTACTATTTATAGCTACTTTTTAACGTGAATTGTTATCTGATAATTTTAACTAACATTTTTTATACATTGGGATAAATTATACTACGTACAACGTACAAATTATGCAAATAGTGATGAAATAGAGAAGACTGTAACTTGTAAGATTTTTTAATCGAGAAGACTATCAATCCCTAAAATTAGAGTAAGACCACTATTGGGCTGAGTACATGAATTATTTGACTAAGTATAAAAACTATTCTGCCAGTCTACTTCTTGGCCAACGAGGTTCCCTCTAGGTGATGAAGTCCCCCCAGGCCGACGGATGACCCATTTTGCTCTTGGGCCTTCGGGCCATATTCTGTGTTGCTTTAGTTCTGAATGATGAAGGACCCATCTGGCCGAGGAAGTGCCTACGTGGATGTTAATCTTCCGTGCTTTGATCTTTTGAGTATGTGGGCCACAGGGTCTGGGCCCATATACCCTATCATGCACCACTCCCAGGATATAACAACCCCAAGAAACTTTGTGGGTTCATTTAATATCATGAGCCGAAATCTTATTTGTCCAAATAAGGCCCAATACTAAAGTTATTTATTCCCTTATAATATTTAAACTACTCGTAATATTTAGAGAAATGCCATAGTATTGAATCACAAAACCATATACAAATATTACACATTGAAAAGGGGTTACAATCTTAATTCTGAACCAGAACTGAGAGTGTTGGAAGTTGTAATTTAGTAGTAAAAGAAAAAGGGAAAAGGGGCAAATAAGGCCACGTACTAACAAAAAAGGTCAAATAAGGCCTTATTTATGAGGCTCTGGCCGGCCTTCGCCATTTGGGGTGGTTCTTAGTGGAATTTTTCGATGAATTTTTTTGAACATCTTATTCATTAAGTCTAGTTTACTCATATCAAATTTCAGCTAAAACTTCAATCGGGAAGGCATTCAAATGAATTCTTGAAGATAACTGTGCAGTTAAAAGTGCAGTTATTTTCAAGAATTCATTTGAATGCCTTTCCGGTTGAATTGTTAGCTAAAATTTGGCATGAGTAAACTAGACTTAATGAATAAAATGGTCAAAAAATTTCATCGAAAAATTCCACCAAGAACCACCCCAAATGGCGATGGCCGTATAAAGCCTCTTAAATAAGGCCTTATTTGACCTTTTTTGTTTAGGACGTGACCTTATTTGCCTATTTTCTCAATGAAAAAGGTAGTTTAAAGAAGGGTATAATAAAATTGCAAACGTGTTAGGTTTGTTGTTTAATTAACACAGTAGATTGTTTTTTTGACAAGCTTTAACGTAACCCAATATAATTAAATGATGGTGCAAACCAAAAAAATTGGATGGAGCTACAGCGTTAGCAAGGAGCAAACGAAAAAAGAAGTTAAACTAACGGTGTTAGACTTCGGTGGGTATTATGCCCTAAAAAAAGGTCAAATTGGGATTGTTTTGCTCCTATAGTAATTGAAGTGTCTAATTAGCTCTTTTGCTCAAATCTTAGTGGCTGATATGCACCTTCTCCCTAATCTGTATAAGGACTGAATCGGTGAACCGATATGGGAGTCTATTAACTAATTATTCGGTTCGATTGTCCTTGAACTATAAATGACTTATGATTATGAACCGATTCTTACTTGGGAGAGAATGAATAGTTGAAAAGACCGATCATAATCAATTAACTTGTGATCTGACGATATCACTGCTGATCTCCCAAATAGGAGATCGTAGGTTCGGGTCTCGTCAGTTCCAATCGGATTGACCTGCGGTATGGTGGACACTCCTGGAGAGCCAATGAAAGTCGAACCAGCGAACTGACTCTCGCTGGAGAAGCCGGGCTCAGTGTGTTGAACGACGTCCGAGGTTAAGGTCGCCGATGTAGACAAAAAGAATGAAACATCGGGGTTCGTCGGTGACCACGTGAAGACCGGAGGAACCCAGCAGCCTACGGTCAGCGGCGGAAGCGTCGAACTATCTGGCGAGCTCAAGAACGGCAGCGTTGT